ATCACGTGCTTGCAGTTCCTACCCTAATATCAAAAGACTCCAAAGTATTCGAGATTATATTAGGGGCCTATGTCCACCCTCAATGGTCCCCCGGTATCCCAAGTCATATGTCAGGCTTTGGGTATACTCGTCACAGGGTTAACGAACACCGGACATGTGAGTGTGGTTTAGGGTTTAGGACAACCCGAACCCCCAAACGCAAAACCCTAAACCACAACAAGTGTGGGATCCTTCTCCCAACGTGGGAATTTCTCAAACACCTGGCCCACAAAAATCCAGGAACAGATGGGAACAAGGAAGGGTTCCCGTAAACAAGGGTTCTACAAGGGGCGAGCTTCGCAAAAATGACGTTGACCCGACAACAACACATTCGAAGAGCCGAAACGCAAGTCCGACTCATTGGCAAGAATTCTGACGACTAAAGCCGCAAAAGCCCCAAGCTCACGAAAAGTTTGGACCCAGAAGCCTCAATCAGCCTAAATGCGTTGCAATATCAAGGCAAAACCACCTGAGAAGTGCGTCAAACAAATTGTTGCTGTAGCATTTCAGACAAAGGCATGGAGCCCAGAACCCCAATGGACCCCACTTCTCCCTACACCTTAAAGCCTCAAGCCTTCAAATCAAGGGATTCAGGCTTGTACCCCTAGGGTTGTACCCCTTGTTTTTTGGGATCCTTTTAAGGTACTCTAGGGGACTATACACGTGCTCATATCAGGGCTATACTGGGGTTCATGGGGCTATACTGGGGAAACCTTTGAGGGGTACGACCTTAGGGTACAACCCGGGAACCATTCATCAAACATGTTCGAACGTTGAACCCCAAACCCCCAAAAAGACGGAGCCCAGCAGCCCGCACAACATCAATAGACAAGAGCTCTACGCCCTGAACCTGTGCACACTCAAACTGCGAACTCTCAAGCCCTTCCTTTAGGGTTACATACCTACCCACCTACCTACCTACCTACCTACCTACATTACATACATACAGACAGACAGACATACGTACGTACGTACGTACGTACGTACATACATACATACATACATACATACGCATGCATACATGCATGGCATACACACAAACCGCACATGTGTGTCGCTCGATGCGAGGTTTGGGAGCAAGCGTAGTGCAGGAGCTCACACACTTAAACTTGTGTTTGGGAGTGCCTATACTTTAGTGCGATAAGGATTACAAGGGAATAAATTCACAAGTGTTCAGCTCTCTACATCAAACGCTGTACAAGCACTGTATAAACACAGTTTCCATTTGATTTTGGAGTTGTCCAGTTGATTCTCATTCTTGGTACGTATTTAGGCTTCTAGGCCCTAAACCCCGACTGCAACCATTAAACCCTAGACCTTAACTCCCTACACCCTAAACCTGAATCCCTAAAGCGAGCGACTCGTAGACGATGTTCAGGGGGTTCTCCCCCCTCTTGGCCGGAGCGCTGATCTCAATGCTCTCCTCACATGGAAGTGGTTGAGGTGCCTTGTTCGAAACCTAAAACCAAACCCTAAACCCTAAACCCTGAACTTAAGGTTTAGGGTTTGGGGTTTTGAGCCTAAACTGTCTGGTTCTGAGGGTGTGGGTTTGAAGGTTCAGGGTTTAGGGCCTCATGTGGTGAAGACTTGGCCGAGCAAATTCAATGTGGTTTTCCTACTTGGAGTGGAGGCTGAGGCCTCCACAGATGGGAGGCCCAATAATATAGACCCCAATGTCAGAAAAGATGAATAATATTTCCTAAAGAACCTACCGTCTAGGGCACCTAGCTTTTGCAAACTCCCATGTGACTCAAAGGAATTAAACTGCCCCTAAACCCCAAACCCTGAAGCTCAGAATAAATGGAAACTGTATAGGCTCAAACACAAACCACAAAAACCCGCCACACACAACTCGGGACATGAACTCCATGCAACTTGTATAAATCCTAACCCCTCAGCCCTAAACCCTGAATCCTAAACCCTCAAAAACCTAAACCCTCAAAAACCTAAACCCTCAAAACCCTCAAAAC